TTTTTTTAAAGAATTATTTTATTTAACTTTATTATTATTATCATTGTTATTTTCCAGTTTGATCAACGAGAGACAGAGAGAGAGTGAGGAAGTGAGAAAGCAAGCCACCAGGTCTGAGACCTGAACCATAGGGGAGTCCAGCGCCCTTAACTACCACGCCACTTGCCAGCCCCTCCACTGAACTTCTGATTCGCAAACTTCCTTTCCAGCGTCTGGTGCGAGAAATTGCTCAGGATTTTAAAACAGATCTGTGCTTCCAGAGCGCAGCTATTGGTGCTTTGCAGGAGGCAAGTGAAGCCTACTTGGTTGGCCTTTTTGAAGATACCAACCTGTGTGCTATCCCTGCCAAACGTGTAACAATTATGCCAAAAGACATCTAACTAGCACGCCGCATAGGTGGAGAACGTGCTTAAGAATCCACTATGATGGGAAACATTTAATTCTCAAAAAAAAATTTTTTTTCTCTTCTTCCTGTTATTGGTAGTTTTGAACATTAGATTATTTTTTTCCCCATGGGTTCAAAAGTTACCTAAGTAAATGACTGTGAGTGGAAAATAGGGGACTGAAATCGGGTATTGGCAGTTTTTCCATTTTCATTTGTGTGTGGATTTTTAATATAAATGCGGGGATGTAAAGCATTAATACAAGTCAAAATGTTTCGGTGAACAAGTTTCAGCAGTTCGATTTCATAACAATTATAAATAAATCTGTTAAATATTCTGGACAATGCCAGCATTTGGATTTTTTTTTAAAAACAAGTACATTTCTTATTGATGGCAACTAAATGGTGTTTGTAGCATTTTTATCATATTGTAGGTTCCATCCATTCACTATACTTTTCTGAGTTGTCCTACATGCAAGTACATGTTTTTAATGTTGTCTGTCTTCTGTGCTGTTCCTATAAGCTTGCTATTAAAATACATTAAACTGGGAACCAACAGTTAGTGTAATGGCTATGTCGCTGGACTCCCACGTAGTCAACTGCGGTTTGCATCCCGGACCCGGTGGCTTAAAACTCACGCCGGGTGCGTGTGCGTGCGTGCCCAAGATCCCAAGAGGAGAATGGAGAAGGGATTGCGGCGTGACCATCCCCCCTGGGGGGTGATTTCTCACTTTCTGTCTCTCTGTCTCTCTCTGTCTGGCGAGCACACACGCCCTATAGTGAAAATCTCTCCAAAAAAAAAAAATACATTAAACTAATAAATAAAATAATTATTTTTAAAAATATAGAGACTATATTTAACCCTCCAACTGGTAAAAAATGAAGTCCAGTTAAATGATAAGAAATACCTATGAAATAATGACACAGAAAAGTCTGTTATTATTTTTTTATTTGACCAGAGATATAGAGAAAGAGTGAGAAGGAAAGAAAAAGCAAGTGTCCAGGTCCAGGACTCAAACCACAGTTGACCAAATGGGAATCCAGGGGCCTTAACCACCACACCGCCTACTGGCCCCTTTTATTCTTTTTTCTACAGGGTGTGTGTGTGTGCTCACAACAGAGACAGAGAGACACAAAGTGAGAAATCATTCCCCAGGGGGAATGGCCCTGCCACAATTGTTGCAATCCCCTCTCCTCTTCTTCTCCTTTTGGGATTTTTGGGCACCCACGTGTCCTGTTTGAGTTTCTTTTTTTCTTTTATAATAATTTATTTATTTATTTAATTCCATTTGTTATTAGTTTTTAATTTGACCAGAGAGAGACAGAGAAAGGGAAAGTGAAAAAGCAGGTTGCAAGGCCCGGGACTGGAACCACGGTCAGCCATGTGGGAGTCAAGTGCCTTTAACCACCATCCCACCTACCGGCCCTGAGTTTCCTTTTTAAAAAATCATTCTATTTAACTTTATTTATTTAAATTTGATCAAAGAGAGAGAGTGAGAGAGAGGGAAAGTGAAAAACAAGCTGCCAGGTCTGGATCAGGCCAGGCTGATCACGTGGGAGTCCAGCGCCCTCAACCACCATGCCACCTGCTGCCCTGGGCATGAGTTTCCAACCATTGGGTCTAGGACTTGAGCCTCGGTAGCCTGGGAGTTCAGCCACGTAACCATTACGCCATCTGCTGGCCAACATATCTTTATTTCCATTTCCACCGTACTGATGACCCCTCCACGACAGATTTCGTGACATTCATTTTTGTATGTTCAGTGCTGAGCTATAATGCTATGCTATAGGTGCTCAATAAATACTTGGTGAAGGAAGGAGTTAGCCAGGGGCCTGCCAGGCTCCACCTACAGTTCAAATAAGGCCAACCCAAGTTTTGTGTAATTCGTTCCAACCCAGAGCCAGGTGTTTTGGAGTCGCTGAGGCCCAGAAGGCTCTGCCAGACAAGCCATTGGCTAGGCTCCCTAAAACTGTCTGCGTCTGTTTCCACAACTTTAAAATGTGAACACTGGGGGCCAGCTGGTGGTGTGGTGGTTAAGAGGCTGGACTCCCACATGGCTGACCATGGTTTGAGTCCCGGACCTGGCGGCTTGCTTTTTCACCTTCCCTTTCTCTCTCTCTGATCAAATGAAAAAATAATAACAAATAAAATAAATAATTAACAACAACAACAAAATGTGGACACTGAGGGCCTCTCCTCACAGCGTTGCTGGGCGAATCACGACAGATAATACAAAAGCAGCTTTGAGCACAGTGTCGGGCAGAGGACAAATTGGACCCTCAGAGATATTCCCGCGTAAGCGATAAACCAAAGGCAGGAAGAAATGACCTGAAGTGGTCCGCTCGTCCGGTACTGCCATGAATACGGCGCCTTAAATACATGCAGAAAAACCCCGCAGCTCCAGGGAGCGTTAGCATCACAGGTGCAGGGAACGGGGATGTTTCCCGGAGCTGGCGTTTGAAGCAGCGGAGGGTGGAGAAGGTCGAAAAGGCGACGGTGTGTGCAGTAGGTAGTGACGGGGCACATTCTGGGCAGAGGCAGGAGGTTCCTGCTTGAAAGCCGCGTGAGAGTGGGTGGCTTCGCACCCGACGAGCGTGCGCTGAAAGGCAGCTCCACCAGGGGAACGAAAGCGCAGGGATCGAAGCCGGGTCCTCAGCCCTGTGTCTGGCCAAGTAAACTGGTTCTCTCCGAACTTCTCCAACACTCCCCTGCCAGGGTTCCGCATGCACGCCGGCATCTGCCT